GAAGTGGGATTATTTTCGTTAATCGTTTGCATTCACATTCGTGACTGTTAGTAAAAATTGAACAGTGTTGGTCGATTGAACAGCAATATTGGTGACAATATGTATGACGATAATGATATGATTATCTCGGCAAAATTGAATCCAATTCTAGTGATCTTGTCTACAATCGTAAGATCAATACAGTATCTGTTTGGGATTCACCTGTTGATTACCGCTATGTAACTTTGTCTGCTTGAACACATAAATGGAAATCGCTGAAAATGATATCGGTGATTTCAGCTGCGATGATGAGTTGATAAGTAATCTGTATATTAATAGGATTAACATGAATAGGATTTGTCACACCTGGGAACACTCACGATAAATGCTACAGTCTCATTATTAATTGTAATGTGCCGATGAATTATCTATTCGAAATTCAAATAATGATCGCTGATGATCAATTTTGTTGCTTCGAATAATGAATAATTGACGATGGCTTGCTGTGTGAATCTGAACAGTTGAATCAGCAGCGGTTAAGAGTTTAATTTGACTGAATGGAACGAATCAATTACGATGCACAAATGAAATGATTTATTGCTGAATGCGATAGAATATAATTTCATTGAATTACGATCAATTGAGAGAAATACAATGTAAGATTTCTATTCTCAGTCTGTTGTTCGTACAAGAAATCACAGTCATCATCATCATAATCAACAGTATTCTAACAGTAACAATGACAGTTCTAATAAGAATTACGATACATTTGACGATAAATCCCACATTAAATACAGTGATGATAGAGCTGACTGGGACGATCTTATACTTATCTAGGTGTGAGCTGTTTAATGGTTTTGATTTGAGCACGGCATACTGATATCCGGTCTTATGTGAAGATTAACGCAAATCACAGTTATAATCTATGTGAAAGCTCACGATGAGAATGTTTCACTGGTGTATAATATGGTCAGAATTATGTTTCATATTAAGACGCTTGGAAACATTATGATTTTGGACGAATCTTAAGGAAAAAAACGTTGCATTGTGCTCAAATAGATATTTATGAATATGTTTTCTGAATGCACATTTATTCATTCATGAACGTTACAATGGTCTCTAGTGAACACACTCAAAAGTCAGTCGGTTGCATCAAAGTGATTTCGATTGAATGTTGCATAATTGCGTTGATGTGTGTAAGGCGGCCGACTGAGGCCTTAAGTTAGTTATTTCTCTGTGATGAGTAAGGACGAATCGAATCATCAGAATTGATTGAGCTGAGCAAAAAGGGACATGAAAGGTTGAAGAGGGTTCGATTATGGTGAGGAGATTACGGGGTGATAATATGATGAATTAAATGTGATGATGAATTGAATGCGATGACTGAAGTAACATAATGATCGTGAACAATTCAAGGCATTATATTAGGCATTCATCGTGCATAATACAACATAATGAATTGACATTATTGTTGCTATTTTATTATTATTATTATTATTGCTATTATTATTAATCTAAATATTAATGTTACTATTACTGTATTATAAATTATATGATATTGTAGATCAAATTGCACATTCACATCTATTAATTCACACTATTCATCATAAAGAAATTATTTTAACGAAGAAGAATCGTTTTTACAAATGAGATGAAACGAACACAAAAGAGTACATGAACAGAGTGAATGATTATGCATGATTCTGACTTTGATTGGGACGTTATTATTTATTATTATTGCTAATATTAATTTCATTACTGCCATAATGATCACCATTTTGCTGGTACTGCTAATATTGTCATAATGGCCTATCATTATGGCTTCATCGTATAATCCGTCAGAGTGTTTGGCAGCACCTGAATAGTTCAGTCAAATTTGATTTTATAGTCAGAAATGAGTTAGGAACAGACTTGGTTTAGTACATCCTCGAATGTACTAATCAATTTTCTTTAATGAGTAGCCGCTTAGCTGCTTTCATCTTTTTGGTGCTAACATCGCACGGGAGAAAATTATAAGGTCTTAGATGTATTGCATGAGAAACGGAAACAATTTTCCAACAATATTAGGCTGGAATCGAAGTATCAGATGCTTGATTATTGTGGTAGCCAGAATTCCTCACTGATTTATCAAAATGGTTCAATTTTTTACGAAAGAAGGAGTGGATCTCACTCATTCCTGTCATAACACCAGCAAGTCTCTTTGTTCCCACATCCATGTCTATTACGGAATATTGAATCTTTTAATCTTATCTTCTTTTTGCGATCAGATTTCTCAGCGTTTAATGATGTTGTTTGCATTGTATCTAAACATAATGCAAAAACGAAAACACTGGTGAGAATTCAATCTGATTTACATGAAAACATGCCATAGAACCATGAGTAGTGAGTGTAGAATCTAATGATGAGAGCCAAAAGCTGATATTTATTTGTCTAACTCAACAAATACGTACACTCCTAACTCACCGCTAACGTCATTTACTCATGAATGATGAGGCTAGCATTGATGGAATAGGGATCAACAAATGGAGTGTTATTTTTTAGATGATCGTTCTGAATTTCCGTCGAAATCCATCTGATTAGGCCTTACAGTCAGCATGTAAAACTAAGCTTCTTAGCGATATCTCACCACTGAAAGTTCTGATAACTGAAAAATAGAGCAGACTGGTATCGCTGGAAATTCTGGTGATTAGAAGACAGTTTAGTTTAAGACCTGCAAGCAAGTTCAATTTAGTGATAAATGAGCAGAGGTGTACTGGTATCAATACAGTTGTGACTTGCTAGATGCAAAGATCAGTGAACAATTAAGAGCAAATCAAGAGAGCAGTAACTGATCAATAACTGAGGGAATGTTCAGGTGTTCGGCCGTTCGGTCTCTTCCCTTTGGTGCCTCCATCGCCATCGTCACCAACAGAATCCGGTCGATTGCCGACAGTCTCAACACGAAATCCTTTGTGTTTGTCACCGAATTCATTATCGCTCAACAAGAAGCAATCTCGGCCCACGTTCACGGGCCATCAAGTAAGTGGTACACGCGCTTCTTGAGCGACTGATAAGTCACAGCTGATTAATTGATTAAATAAATCAAAATCCACCAATTTTGGATTCCAGTATCACCTTTCAGTCATTTCAGTTTTATAAACTGCGGCAAATTCTGCTCTCAAACTGACTAAAATTGCGAGGATGAGCGAGATCCCATGGAAAACGGATAAGTTATATCCAAAATGATCAGTAATTTGTACAAATGTGGACAATAGAATATAAACATTTGATTGTATTGGACAGGATAATGAGGATAATCAGGATGATATAATGAAAAATCATTTCAGATTTTTATGTTGGAGAAGAAATTCGAGCAAACCAAATATTTGGCCGGTTCCGATCGTGCACAGCTAGCTCAAGAGCTGAACATGAGCGAAAGTCAAGTTAAGGTGAGTCTTGACTTATCACGAATTTCAGGCAAAAATATCTGATACTCTCATGCACTCGGCAGTAACTTGACGAGGTGTATTTATCAAAAATTCATGGTTGTCATTGAACTGTTCAAAAATTTCATTGATAAGCTGAGTAATCTATTTTAAACGTCCTTATCTATTAGTCTAATAACAAATAACTGATCTGTACGTCCGTTGAAGCTGAATTTCGCTGAGAAACTTCAAATCTTCATCACTGTACCATTCATCTCAGCGATCCATACTGATCTCAATCCATCCTAGAACATGTATGCTCATTCAACGTATCCTTCCCTTCACAAACCAAGTGATTTATTCGCCATGATCGTGCATGCTGACAAGTTTACTCATTGGTCTATTTATTTGCTCGTTAGATTGTTCACATGTCTGAACAATTGGATAATACGAATGCGATCATGAAATCATTAATCATAGAGAAGATCGCAACTAATCATTCGAAACCGCAAATGATAAATTGCCGACATATGGGATTAGGATATGCATGGTAGTCATTTAATCATCGTTAAGGTTTTACATTCGTTTTGAGCTTGACAATTAAAGAGGTGGTTGTTTATGCAATAACGCTTAAGCTTTCGCAAATTCTTCGTTTGTTATTAATTCAAATTTGATCATAAAAGAAGATATATTGACATATCACATTATGTCCACACGCTGAACAATTGAATCGATCTTACGATGTGATGTATCACATCACAATATCATCATTTATCTCACTTAGTGCACACATCAGTGTGACTACTCATAAATGCACATTTATGATCTATTCGTATCAGTTTGTAGCAATTGATCTGCAACAACATGCAGCTGTTGCATCCTGATGCCAATGAAACCGTCATAACATTTCTGATAAATTACTGACAAATAGAAGAAGTTAGCTTTCGCCTACGATGATGAACCGAAATCATCACCATCGAACTGACCGAGTTTATTTGAACCATGTACCTAGCTCTGATGCAAATAGACAGCCAGGAAATATTGAGTATTTAAAAACAAAATGAATGAGTGGAGTCTGTGCGACGCAGTCGATCGGCTCATATTTCGGACAAAACTTCCGGATTATTTTTCGAAGAATCATATTCCAATGAAAACCTGTCCTGTTCCATAGCAGATATGAAANTGACAGTTCAATAAGCTTCAAAATGCATTAGCTTTAAAATGTAAGTGCATGAGTTCAAGGTTTATAAATATCCATTACTTTCATCACTTCATTTTGGAAAGATTGTTGCATTTTCATAGGATCATCATCGTTATCCAGATGAATTCCAGTTGTTTGTTCATAGCAACAATCATATTAATAGTTCATAGCACTTTCGTATTAATACAATGAAACGTGTTTACAATCCCAAAAACATTTCATATCAAATATTAATATTATTCATTGTATGTGCTCGCGTATTAGCAATCTAATATATTCATTGCATGTGTTTATTTGCGCTACACATTCATTGAGCACATTAACTGCTTATGCAAATTAGTACGAAGCGAACGAAGATGGTACATGCATGTGTCTGCTTGCAACATTTGTTGCTATGATATCTTTTGAGGGAAGGAATATGCCATCGTGACTCTTTTGCATGATCCCTCTGATGACATCAGTAAGGATAATCATAGACACTTTGAAAATAATTACACTGGCAATAAATAAACCAAAAGATGATCTCTGCATTGAAATATGATAGGAAGACGACGCAAATGTTGAATAAATGAGTGCATGAAAAAGACTTTTGCATGAGTATCATAATAGTGATTATACGACTGAAAATCGTTTTTGAACCAGCACTAAATTGTAATTTCATCCATAATTCAGCATCATTTCAGTAAGGTGAGGCATTCATATTCCATATGTGCTGAATGTGTGTGTGTTTACATTCCGTGCATCTATGTATTCGTGTAGTTATTTTCGAAGTAAGTAGCATGAAAAGGTGTTTTGAAGGGCATAAATCACTGCAACTGATGATACAAATTCGGCGGATCCGAAGACAACTCATAAACTACTGACGAATTCGAATACGATTTCTCCCAGTCATATCACCACTATTTTTCAAGATGTATTGGTATAATCTCAATCTATCTCGAGAGTACATGGAACTTCATCGCATAACAAATCCATAAGTATTTTGCTCGCTCACCACTATGTGATCCAATACCAAATAATTGCTTGTGAGGAGTTGTTATTTACTGCCTGTGATGTGAGTCGAAATCTTAAGTGATAACTGCTGCAAAAATAGCAAAATTTATGA